GTGGTGTATGTAACGCTTTTAATAAACTTGAAATACCTATGCCATCAAAGTATTTTTTCCCTTTTCAAGCTTTTTGATTCGCTTTGTGTGTGATCCTCTAATTCTCACCATCAACAAGATTGAAAAAGAGTCTACCGTATAAAGGGTCTGTCATTTTTGGAACATCACCAAGGTTTGAAAATTTGTACCAAAATTCTTTAATTTCAAAGATCATTAGAACAAATACTATCCAGTATCCACCAAAGAGAAATGCAACAACAAAGACTAAAGCTATTAGCCGAAGCAAAAGCAGTATCATCAATAAAATAAAAGGATGGTGAAATGTATAAATGAAGTTCAATACAATTCCTAGAACTAGATGAAAGTTTCCTTCTGACTGGAAATATAAATGAATAGGAGCAGTCACAACCACCAGGCCTCCATGCTATAGGCTACTCTTGCAGTCTTGCTCTGCTATTTACCTAGCTTGTGTTATGCTAGTGGTGTGTTTTTCAGTTCCAATTGCCAGTGGTGGGCGAAACCAGGGTTTCAGAGTAGATTCTAGCTGCTACAGAACAAGCAGGTGGTGATAAATCAGGAAGCAATGGAGCCCTAAATGAATTCTCTTTTGTATTGTATATGGTCATCGTGAAGTGCCACTGGAATAGGATTTCGCCTTTCTCTGAAATGAATAATGGGTTCAAAGGAAATGAATTCTTAAGGTTAAGCGGGTATCGAATGCTGACCATCTTAGTCGAAGAATCTCTGACTCCATGTTGTCTCATAATCCAAACATCAGCATACTGATTGGAATTATCACAAACCACACATAGGCATCCTTGCAAAACCCCCAACCCCAACTTTCCTTGTTTCACACCATCTCCATAATCAGGTTGCAATACCTCCATAATAGTCTCAGTTGCTAAATCAATTGAAACAATCTGCTCTCTACAACTCACCAGCCAATTCAAAGTACCACCAACATATTCACTATTACAACGGCCGTCTGGAAGATCAAATGCATAATCGTGAGTCCTCCAAGAATTAGTCCTCAACGAATACACCCTTAGACTTGTATAAGTGTCTTTACATACCACCTTGTAATCATTGTTAGAAGAATCATAACCGAATCCAAATACACCAGGAAAATAATCTGGCAACTTATTAATTTCTCTTAAACCTAGGTTAAAGACAATCACTTTTGCGTAGTCAGTGGTCATGCAAATCAATCCATTGCAACAACCCACAATCCTGTTACGACCCCAAAAATACCAAAACGGGTAATTGAAATCAAAAGCATTAGGATCAGTAAAGGGTTGATTCAACAAGGAGTAAGGGGAACAGGTTTTGAATGTGTATTCATTCAATCTACTACGACAGCTCAACCAGACCCTTTGTCCAGTTAGTTTGGGGTTTCTTACTGATTCTGCCAAGTGTTTGTTGACAAAAGAGGAATCTCTCGTTAGGGCATTCCACGATTTGCAAACGCACCTGAATCGAATCAAACACTTTACTGGCAGTCTTAAGAGAACATCTTCGGCAACATTGTCGGGAATAGGTGGCGGCGTCCGCAGAGACCGAGCTGTCTTGTGTGATTGCGGCTCCACTTCAGTTTGGGTCTCGCGGTGGACCCGCTTCCGGGCCTGGCGCTCTGGAGAAGGATGGAGACTTGGCAGGGCATTGTAACCCTCTTCGACGACTCGGAACATTTTTTCCAAATCCGCAGGGTACAGGACCTGTTTTTTTTTTTCGATGAACTCGCAGAGTACGGGACTTGGACTTAGAAAGGGGAAGAATTTGATTTCTACCTGGTTTCCTAACCCGCGATGGGGTAGGATAACTATGTTTGTAAAATGCTTAAAATGCAAATTTAGTTGTTCAATTTTTAAATTTGTATTAAAATTATTTTTTAATTTTTAAAAATATCTAAATTATT